GCGAATCTCTGGCCCAGAGTAAAACCTAGTCAATCTTTACGGAGATACCTTTTCTGGATTTGTTATGAGGCGCAGCTAGTTTCAGGGAAGAATAATCAGTCACTTGGAAGTACTGATTCTCCCAACCACCTACTGGGAGTTGATTAGAGAAATGCTCACTGCCTGTGCCTTTAACCAGACGTAGTGGCAGCTCCCTCCCACCGCCCCTTCCCCCAACCCATCTGCAGCAACCCAGGGTTCACAGCTTGTTTTCAGTTCCTATTTCTCTTCTTAGTCACTGGTCCCAAGGAATTTGCCTTAAGCTTCATCAGAAGCTTCCTCCTGCCCAGGCAGAGTGGTGGTCCAGGGACTCACATTTGGGTCCAGACTCTCCTCCTCGGCACCCACACCATTGTCAGTGGTGTGGTTGGTGGCGGCAGTAGTGGCCTGGCTTAGTTGTTTTTCACTGAGCTCCTTCTGCTTGGCTTCCTTCTCTGCAATTTTCTTCTCAGCTTTCAGGCGTCTCTTTAGCTCACTGTTGGCAAGATGCAAATGTTCAATGTGACAGATACCTGAAGAGTCCTCTACTATGTTCTGCCCCATAACCACGGATCAAAAATATGAACAGCCTGGGGGGACATGCTCTTGCCTGGTGCTACACCTCCACTTCTAGTCTCTTAGTCAACTCTATACGTGAATGAAACAAAGGAAAAAGTAAGCTTAGAATAAAGATGTGAAAGATCTTCCTCACCCTCTGCTTTCCAACATGAGATCCCAAACTAAAATCAGGATACCCCAGGACAAAGGAAAACCGAAGAGGCAACATGGTCTGGCTCTGTCTGCTACCCTTCCCTACACCTCTCCAAGGAGTGGGTTAGTCTGGGGTAGGTTAGGGTAACGGAGAGGTGGCTCTTCTGAGTTCAAGGAGACGCACCATTGACAATCCCTCCCTTAGCATTGGTCACTGTATTAACAGTGACTCTCAGTGTTGATCTCCCCATCTACTGTAGCCGGACCTAAGAAAACAAATGGGGCAGAGCAGTGTAAAAACCAGCATAGAGTAGGGGGTAATATAACATCCTTGGAGTCAGACTGCCTGGGACCTAATCCTGACATACCTGCCTAGCAATTACATGACCTTGGGCACATGACTTCCCATTTGTAAAATGTAAGTAACAGAGGACGCTCCCCTCCCCAAATGTGAAGACTGTAATAATGTATGCAAAGATAGGACCTGCCCTTAGCATTTAGTTAACATGCAAATGAGAGCCATTCTAGGTATCCTTTACTGTCTTTAAACCCTTTATTCTCTGCACCCAGGAAAGAAATCTTAGATTTGGATACACTGCTGGTCCAATCTCTCACTATCTACACTCTGATCTGAAATCTTGCTATCTGAACCCAGAAACCAAACAGGTTTGTGTAGAGGATATCCTCAGTATTCAAACAGAATTGGTCATTCTTTCAAACCACCAATGTTAGCTGAATATTATATAATAACCATAGCAAATTATACCAAGTCATGCTTGTATATTATCTGGCTTTATGGCACACTCTTAATTTTCAGTATGAATTTAGAGTGACTCAATCGAAAAAATAAATTGGTGATGTGAAATACTAATTTTTAAGAAAAGGACTCTGAGGGCTTCAAAGTAGGCGTCTCTGGATGTAATCTGTCTTGTAACAGTTTTAAATACAATCATTCCAGAACTGTGTGCTAGGCTTACTGTGCTGTAATTCAGTCAGTAGGCATCAGAGCCTATTTGGTTCTTCCTGGCATTAACATAAAAAACCTGTTTTCCATTCAACTAGGAATGGAAATTAATCCTAAGGAAAATCAAATTAATCCTAAGGGAAATTCAAAAAGATCCTAGAGATAGAACAAAGACTAGAAACCAAATTAATCTCGGGAGCAAACCAAGTTCAGAAAGACAGGAAAGGGAACGTTTGTTCTCGGCACTGTTGTAGAATAAGATCCACAAGTCATCTCAAGAATTTAGAGTGAGAATCTGAATTTACTAAAGAGAAAAGGAGAAACCACTATTTGGCAGTAGAGCTCTTTGTTTCCTTAGCAACAAGTGCAAAGAGTCAGAGGCTTAACAAATAAGGACCCAAGTAAGGAAGGATTTTTGCTCCCAGAGCAACAACGAAGGTAAGGGCACCAACCTTCTTTTATCAGAAAGTGGCTTGTCCTTGTGAAGCGCTGTGAAAGGAGCAAGTTGATACAGTCGCAGCTCCCTCTGCCCCCACTGTGCCCGGGAGGTTTGGCGCAGGGACCCCCTAACAAGCCTTACAGCAGCTTGCGTCAACATGGCAGAACACCCCGGAACTAATGATTACCACCACCTAACAGGAAACAGAGATGTGGTGTCAGATGGGACAAAACAGTACATATATACCCAACCAGCAGTCCTACTCTTTTGGGTAGGGGAGGTTGCACGACCTTTTAGTGTTCCACTGAAGACCCTCTTAACTGAGGACAACCCTGTAACTCACTGTGCTGCAACCGTAACTGACAACATTCTGTCCTTGCTATGGTAAAAAGGTGCATATCTGGGTTAAAACTCAGGAGTAAGGCAACCCATAGTTTAAAGGTAGAAATGATCACAACAACCTAGAAAATAGGAGACAGGACCTGAGGCAGTGTTTCCGAAGCCCCTGACATGTGGCTTCTCTCTCGGAGATTAAAAAACCCTGGTGACAAAGATGGCAATGGGAAGCACGTGAAATGTCACTATCATTTGCAAACTCTAGATGAAGCTAAAAGCAAGCCACACAAAAGCACCTCTGAGTCAAAGATAAGACTTAATTGAGCTCTAGGAACAAGGAGGAAAGGAGAATTTCAGGAAGGATCCTGGACTACAGAAATCTGACCTTTCATTTGGGAAGGAGTCACCTGGCAGGCAGCCCATCTCTTTTTAAACTTGAAGAAGATAACTGGCATAAAATGGTACTCATGAAGAGGCAGACCAAGGAAGTCCCAAGAACAATTAAGATACAGAAGGAAATGTAAATCGTTAAAAAAAATTCTTTCAGCCCATGGTCACTAGAGTTATATACGTTAACAGCAGATTTTCTTAGACAATGTGGGGAGGTAAGGTGCAGGCAGTGTAAAGAGCATGGGCTGTGGAGTTCTGGACTGGGTTTTAGATCTCTGCTCCAGAGCCTCGATCAGTGACAGACCACACTTTAGGAGTGCACACTTCAAAGTATTCAGTCGCCCAGAGCCTCAGTTTATTAATTTGAAAAACAGACATTAATATTTTCTTTGCAAGGTTATTATTGAGATTAGACAGAAAGTTTGTATGGTTCTAGCATTATGTCTGACATATAGAAGCTGCTTTAAAAAGTGGTAGGGTGGGGGCACCTGGGTGGCTCAGTCTGTTGAGCAAGCTGGGGGTGGGAGGGGAGAACCAGCGACAAAGAGAGCCAGAGAATCCCAAGCAGGCTCCATGCTGTGCTGTCAGTACAGAGCCCGAACTCAGGAAATGTGAAATCATGACCTGAGCCGAAATCAAGAGTTGGACACTTAACCAACGGAGCCACCCAGGTGCCCACCTCTTATGGTTTCCTTAAGAGATGTCTTTTCCCTAACTTACTTAATTCTAAGAATAAAGCACACAACATACATAACATACAAAACGTGTGTTAATCCACTCTTAAGGTTATTGATAAGGCTTCCAGCCAACAGTTGGCTGTTAAATTTTGGGGGAGTCAAAGTTACACTCAAACTTTCCACTGTATGGTGGGTCAGTGCCCCAACCTCTGAGTTGCTCAAGGGTCAACTATATTTATGTAACAGATCAAAGTCGAATCAATTTTCCCAAAGGCAGAAGTCTGAGACCAGATTCCAAACATTTATAGAGATGTGTATCCTACCTTCAGAAGGGTGCCATCAAACCATTAAATTTAATGTTTCCTTTCTCATTTTTCTTGAATATTTGAAGCATAGATCCAGAGACACAAAAAGAAAATTAATTTTTACTGGTTAAGGGCCTATTCCATCAGGATTCAGAAAAGAACGGAGCCCAAATGCGGTAAGGCAGCCATTATTTGTAATGAATTAACTTTTCTCCTGCCTCTGGAATAGTCTAGTTATGCCCCTCCTTGGGAGTACTGAAAAAAAACAAATCATTGCTGGTGTTCTGTGCTTCAACTGAAGAACCCTGTTTGAGAGGGTATACATCCAGGAATATAAAACATAGCCAGTTAAAGGGCGGCTAGTCTTGATACATTCATATTTATCTTCACACACCAAGGATTTGAGAGTGGGTAACTAAGATCTATCCAGCAGGGCTTGAAAGTGCCACCTAGTAGACTGGTGGACTCATATTCTATTACTGGACATCGGTCATTCACTCAATACTCACAGATCCTTTAAATAATCCACATATTTAGGTGCACAATACAGTTTTAGAAATGATCCATTTAATACTCAAGATTCAGAAAAGCCGAGGTGAGGCCAAGGAAAATTTCAAGGTCTTCCCGAAAAGCTCGGGTATTTAACTTCCTTCCAATGGTAGCGAGGCGTCGCTCGGCAATAAAAGAAAGCATTTTTTTCTTCCAGAAGGAGGTAAAGGAAGGAGTAAATTTCGTTTTTCTGTAGTCAATTCTCATTTTTCTGTATACCCTAACTCCAGGAATGCGACGACAGGACTCCGGGCCCCGGAGCAACCTGGGGAATGTAGTTTCGCGGTTTAGCGGCTACGTCCGGCGTGTCCAGACCCACGAGAACCGGCAGGAAGGCCATAGGCACAGCCGCCTCGGCCGGAGCCTCGAGGCGCATCCTAGCCCGGACTGTCCGGGCGCAAAGACCTTAAAGACTCACGGCGACACTTACTTTTTGCTCAGTTTTGGCTCGCTGCCGTCCACTTTCACCTCAGCCCCCTGCACCGCAGCCATCTTTCCCGAGGGCCCGACCTAAAAGGGACGAGGGTCGCACAGCAATTTCCAGGTCACGGCCGGAATCTCCGCCTCTTCCTAGAGGAGGGGGCGGGCGCTCTTCGCGCGCTGCTACTGCGCAGGCGCAGGGCGGGGCTTCGCGGCCGACGCGTCTAGAACCGTCGTTCGTTCGGGTTCGCTCTGTGCGTCAGAGGCTTGTTTCGGGGATTGCTGTTGTGGTGCCTGGTGTCAGCTATGGCGGAGGCGATGGATTTGGGCAAAGACCCCAACGGGCCCACCCATTCCTCGACTCTGTTCGTGAGGGAAGATGGCAGTTCCATGTCCTTCTACGTGCGTCCTAGCCCGGCGAAGCGTCGGCTGTCGACGCTCATCCTGCACGGCGGCGGCACCCTATGCCGGGTGCAGGAGTCTGGGGCCGTCCTGCTGGCCCAGCCCGGGGAGGCGGCGGCCGAGGCCTCGGGCGACTTCATTTCCACGCAGTACATCCTGGACTGCGTGGAGCGCAACGAGAGGCTCGACCTGGAGGCCTACCGGTTGGGCTCGACGGCCGGCCAGGCCCCCGAGACGAAGCCCGCGGCCCCGGCCAAGGGGGGCGCCGCCGCCGCCGCCGCCGCCGCGGCC